ATCTGTGTAGAATGGGCTACCTTTTTTTTTTTAGTTCATATTTGGTCAGGGCATAAATAGAAGAAATCCATCCTATCTTGTCACAAAATTTCTACAAAAACAAAATAATATTAAGGACAAACAGGTTCTTGAAGCCTTAAATTTAATCCTTGGTGCTTCTCAATGTACAGCTGGTAGTTTAAAACAATCATACATCTTAATAGTCATAATATTCTTCTCTTCTATCTTAAAAATAATCCAGGCAGATTTGAGTAGTTGTTGGCTGCTAGTCCCTCCAGCGAGAATTTTGCAAATGCTGTAGGATGGAGTGTAGTCTAGAGCCCGCAGTCCGGAGGTATTAAAAATCCAGAGATTCAGATAGCTGTTTCCTGATGCCGGGAGAAGTAAAGGTTGGACAATGGTGTTTATTTCAGATCTGAAGGTTTGCCTGTGGAGTTTGGAGCTACTGAAATGCAGAAGTTCAAAACCAACCTAAACTTGCACTTTTGGGTAAAAATGCTTTGCCAAATCACTCATGGATAGATTCATTATTCTTCCATGTTCTATTTTCACAAACAATAGATAAAAAAAAAAATCCATCTTGACTTCAGCCAATATGTATATTTACCCCTTAACCCCACCTAAAAAGGGCCAACTATGGCTGCCTGCATAAATGTTTTGAGATGTGTGTTTATTCTTTCAGTTTTGTCAAATATTTATTTTGAGACTTGTTAAATATCTCTTATGTCTACAAAATGCTTCCTAAATTCTGAGACTGTTTTGAAGACAAATTCATTAGTTATGCAATCATTCATAATAGCCATTTAAATAGAATTTAGTAGCTAAAGAGGTAAATGATCTCACTCATTGGTCATAGATATATTGCTGTAATGAAACATTCACATTAGAATAACATCAAGATGAAAGCAACAAAGCCATTTTTAATTATTTGCTTTTCCTCAAGGCTGCATTCTTGGCACTGCAAATAAATTAATCTTACAGCAACTGAGTGTTAAGAATATATTTTTGTATGACAGGTGGTATATTTGCATGATATATGGAAAAAATCCCTGGCAGCAACAGTTAAGCATTACTGGTACATATTGTTGAAATGATGTAGGATTTTCTCCTCACAGCAACAAATGGTGGTTGCAATTTTTAGAGGATTTAGAAACTTATATTAAATACGAGCACTGAGATTTGGATATAAAGAAACTGGCTCACACAGTGAAGATAACTGGTATTTCTTTATTCTAAAACACTGATAGACAGGTTTATCTTTCCAGTGTATCATCCTGGCCTTTTTTTTGCCAGCCTTCTTGTTACGTATATAAAATACGTATATAAAAGTCTGTCTTTAGGTGCTCACAGAATTCTGTGGAAACTTTGAGGAAATCAAAAGTACCAGTATAGGTTAGGGGTGGACCTGCTGGGAAGTAGCTCTGAGGAGAAGGATTTGGGGGTCCTGGTAGATAGTAAATTGTCGATGAACCAGCAGTGTGCCCTTGCTGCCAAAAAGGCCAATGGAAACCTGAGCTGCATAGGGTAAAGTGTGGCCAGTCAGTCGAGGGAGGTCATTCTCCCCCTCTACTCTGCACGAGTGAGGCCACAACTGGAATACTGTGTCCAGTTCTGAGCTCCCCAGTTCGAGAGGGACAGGGAACTACTGGAGAGAGTCCAGCGAAGGGCAACTGAGATTGGACTCTCTGAGATGATTGAGGCATTGGAGCATCTCCCTTATGAGGAAAGGCTGAGAGAGCTGGGACTCTTTAGCCTGGAGAAGAGAAGGCTGAGGGGAGACCTTATTATTGCTTACAAATATCTAAAGGGTGGGTTGAAGGAGGATGGAGCCACACTCTTCTCGAGGATGGAGCTACACTCTTGTTGGTTCCCAGTGACAGGACGAGGGGCAATGGGTGCAAGTTGGAACATAGGAAGTGCCGTTCCAACACACGAAAAAACTTCTTTACAGTTCAGGTGACAGAGGAGTGGCACAGGCTGCCCAGGGAGGTTGTGGAGTCTCCTTCTCTGGAGATTTTCAAAACCCGCCTGGATGCAGTCCTGAGTAATGTGCTCTGGGCAATCCTGCTTTAGCAGGGGAGTTGGACTAGATGATCTCTAGAGGTCCCTTCCAACTCTGAAAATTCCGTGATTCTGTGATTTCAGGTAGATGGTGATAACTTATACAAAACGTATCAAAATCTCATACAGAAAAGATCATGAAACAAAAATGTACAGTCATTTTTGGGTACTAGATTTATGATACAGAGCTGAGTTAAGGGAGACAGGTTTTATTTTCAGAAAGCAGAATCTCTGAAAAGATGCTTTTTTGATGTCTTAGGTTGGACATGAAAAAATTCACCACTGATGTCATTTATGAACATCTGCACCATTAAGCTAAAAGTTTTGAGCTAGAAAACTAGAGCTTTCATTGCTTACAGCCACAAACTGGAAAACCTTTCAAAGATACCTTTTCATTTCTAACAGATTATAATTTTCCCTGTTAGATAAAATTTATCCATCAGACAGTAGTAAGTGTTGGATAAGCACTTGGTTTAAAATTGAGTATCAGATAGATATCAATTTTTTTCAAATGTGTCTAACTTATGTAAGAAAAAAACCCTGTATATGTGTGCAAGTGATGGATACAAATGTATCTGCAGAAATCATAAATTTTTCAATTTAGTTAACACATATAATTCTGAAATATGAACTCTGGAAGACAAAAGTTACCCACACTGGAACTGATGTAAATGGTGTAGATATAGATATATCAAGATACAGCACACAGAGAATAGACTACTTGATTTATAGAACATGTTAATGTTAACAGAAGTTAGAAATTGCTGATGCAGATCATATCTCCGTAGGGTATCATTGGATTTCACTGAATCTGTGTGGGAATTTAAAGTATACCTTTGAGTTTAAGACAAGAGGAGAAACGTATCTGGGTTTGAAAAAGGCAAGCTAGGCTCTCATAATCACATTTTTTAAAGGTTTTGGTTTAATATTGCTTCCAAATAATGTCTCCCTTGTGTCACAGGGCGGTATTGCCTCAGTTACAACATCATGAACACTTTGTGTAGCATGTGGAATACAGCTGGGTTCAAACTAAATTTGTGAATTTTTTAGGAAATTTCTCATTTACCCTATATTTTACAACTGAAGCTAATCAGCGTGTGAGCTGTGAATGCAGACGGACATGTACCTGCATGTGTTCCCAATCAAAACCAGTGCAGACCTGCAGCCAGGATGAGAAACTAGAGACGGGCTGAATTGCATTTTATATGACCTTGTAGATTTTGCATAGTTCTTGTGGATTTTCTGGAACTTAAAACTGCTCAGGTGTTTCTGAGAAGCACTTTAATATCTCAAAGTCTTAGGCCATCACCATTGCCCTTAATAGTTCATTAAGGGGAAACCAATATTCTAGAGTTGGTACAATCTAGTTCATGCCAGGGTAAGGAACTGAATCCATTTTAATTGTTGTAATGAATAATCTCCTCCTTTATATACATAGAGGACCAAAGTCTAATCTCCCTCTTTAGACCGCTCTGCAGAGTTTAGCGTAGTTGATCGTGAAATTCTGGTGTGTCATATGAGCTGGATGGCAGTGGTCCAGGTTACCGTACTAGCTTGGGCCCTTCCTGAAGAAGTGCATCCAACAGATAGTGATGATCAGCTGCATGCCTACCCCGCTTGATCCTTAATGGCTGGAAACCCACCAATTTCCTTGTGTCCTTTTCTAGCAATGGAATGCAACCACGTTGGCAGCTGGATTCAGCAGCGAGCAATTTGCAGATAATACCTGGCTGTGTGTATTTGTTACCGTCTGTGACTAAATCATTGACTCTGCTACTACCAAGGTGATCAGCTAATTGTGTGAGATTAGCTTAATTAAGCTGAGCTACATAGATATGACTACAGCTAGAGTATGTGACATTTATGGGCAAAAAATCTTCAGTGTTTAGGAAATGCCACCTAGTATAAGATGCTGTAGTTCTTCCCTGCAGAGTTTATGCATTGGTTTGCCACAGAAATTTATGCTAAGGACAGTATTTGGTCCTCATCTGCAAATTGCATCATCACTAGGGCCCAGCTTATCTAAAATATTGCTTAAATTGCTCTGAAATTAAGAAGACAGTTGGAATCATAGAATCACAGGATGGTTGAGGTTGCAAGGCACCTCTGGAGATTGCCTTGTTCAACTTCCCTGCCCTAGCAGGGTCAGCTAGAGTAGGTTGCTCAGGACCTTGTCCACTCAGATTTCGAGTGTCTCCAAGGATGGAGACTCCACAGAAGACTCTATTTTCTTTACTCCTTCCCATCAGGTACTGATACACATTGAACCTTCTCTTCTCCAGGCTGAGCAGTCCCAGCTTTCTTAGTTTCTCCTTGTATGCCAGGTGTTCCAATCCCTTTATCATCTTTGTGGCCATTTGCTGAACTTGCTGCGGTATGTCCATGTTGTACTGGGGAGCCCAGAGTTGGACACAATGCTCCATGCTGAGTAGAGGGAAGGATCACCTCCCTTTTGTTTGGCACAGTTGTCACAATGGGTCTTTCTGTTATAATTGTATAACTTTTTTTTAGAAGAAAACTTTGCCATTTTCAAGATAAATATATAGTCATTCTATATTTAACACCTACACACTACAAATAAAAGAATCCTCTAGGAAAACAAGCTATGATACACATTTTTATCCTCACAGAGGCAATGAGGGATAAATGATACATAATACAAGAGCAGTGCCCAATTTGTAGTGTGCTACCGGCAGGCAGGAGGGTACCATGAGGATAACTGTAGTGTAAAAGCATGAGTGGCACACAGCTGAATCGTTTACATTCTACTTTCTTTTATCAATGCCGAACAAGTTGTTTCTGACATTTGTAATTTAAACTCACACAATGTTTTTGTGGTACTCAGAAACTGCTTTTCTGCATTGGATGAAATAATAATCAAACATTTTCTGTTTTATTTTAGGAGGCTGTTTCTAGCTGTTTGTTTCAACTGTTCCGCCATCCCTCCTAAATGTTGATAAATAGCCTGTTTTGCACATAACGGTAAAGTACAGTTTAAGGTCACGATATTCTTTCTTTACATGTGAAGGCCCATTTTTTTAATATTTAGCTGTTTTTTAAAAAAAAAAAAGTGACTTTTTTTCAAAATTATGCAAAGGCTACAAGTAGGATCAAGTGATTAATTAGCAGATTAATCAAACTGCAGGTGTAGCGGCTAGTTTATAACTTACAGACTGACAGGTTCATAATCTTTAAAATAATACTTTTCTCAGGCATAAAAGGCTTTCCTCTTACAGTTCCCTCATTAATTTAAAGAATCCTAGTAAATATATTACTGTCTCCTTGTCAGAAGGGGTATGTCTTTTATATTGCCTTATCATCTACATAGCTTCATTTAAAATAGCTCTGTTTGAATAATATAAAGTCACAATTAAAGACATTATGAAATCTGAGACAGTAAATGAAATATTACGTAGGGTCAGCTAAGATTCTTTGCAACTGTTTTGAAGATAAAATTTGAAAGGGAGGGCTAGAGCTTTGGACGTTCTGGGTGCATGGCACCTCTCCACCCAGGAGACAAATCTGTGGCATTTTGTGGATGGATTGAACACAAGATGTCACCCTAGCTGTGAGATAGCTCCGACACAAAAATGCCATTAGCTGAAGAGGAAAGGGAATAAAAAGGGCATCAATTCTTTACCCGCCCCCCCCCTTTTTTTTCCCCCCCCCCTTCCCCCGCCAAGTTGTTCATCATGTGTTCCTCATTTAACTATCACAGAACACTTTCTCTACAGAATTTTCTACACATTGCTGAATATTTTTAATTCAAGTCTATCATACCATATATGATTTTTTTAATTGCTGTTTTAAAGTAGGTTCCTGAAATTTGAAGTCAGATTTGACTTCCTTGAATAGTAGCCTTATGTTTCTTGTACTGTTAGTGAAAAAGATGATAGAGAATATAGTGCAAAATTCTTCTGAGTTTTCTTCAGTCTTATTAATTTTCATACATGTACCTAGAAGTCTAAAAGCTCATAGAAGGATGCAATGGCAGTTATTGTGAAAAACTTTCAGATAAGATACCATAGTTAAATTGTTATGTTTCTTCCTAAACTGTGTAAACCTTTTTGTATTCAAGAGTTGTGTTTTCTTTATGTAACAGTTTGAAATTCCTTTTACCTTTACTCTAAACAATGCAAAATTCTTCCTTCAAGGAAGAAGAAGTTGAAAATTGAATTAAACAAAGCATTATGTAAACAATGGTATTAGCATTCATCTGATTATGGATGGGGAACTGATACCTTAAATATTAAACTCCTTGAACTCAGGCCCCTGACTTCAGTAATACTGTCAGTGTGCCTATGTTCAGAATGACATTTATGCTTTAAATGTTTGTTTCCTTCCTGTATAAAATAATAAAAAAGATTTTTCGGTCAGGACATCTGTGTGGGACGTGTGAGGACAGAACTCAATGCCCTGTTACACTGTAGATGCTCATATTATGGTAAGTGTTCATTCTAACTTCATTTATCTCAGCTATGCAGTGAGAATATCTTCATCTGTAAGATATGGATAGCCATATTTCTTTACTTTCACTGTCTGTATTTAGGCAGCAAACCCTTAAAGCAAGGACTAATTTTAAAAATACGTTTGTATGGGACCTATAGCAAAGAAGGCCTGGGCACTGTTGTAATATTAAACAAAAGTGTATTACTCTTAACCACCAAAATTTAAATACACAAGCGATAGTAAAATACTGTTTTGTAACAAAGTATACATCTTAGGCGACCAGATTCTCATAAACCTGGACAGAGGAGGAAGCAAAATTGTGAGCATACAGCATGTCAGGCAATCTGTGATACCTCTCACACGTGTGCTTTTAACCCGTGGTGAATAACAGGATACTCTCAAGAAAATATCAAATGAGTTCATTCTCACATTTGCTGCAAGGCACAGTTGGAAATAAACTTACTAGTGATTTCCTTGAAGTGGATCACCCCTCACTTGCTCAGGACTATTAGTATGCTCCTACATCCATAGTTTTGCGCTACTCATCTGCTTTACATCATTCTGCATGTCCTAAAAAACAGTGTAAGTTGGTTTTTTTTTAAGACCCTTTCAGATTGCCATTTAAAGGAGTTTTAATATTCCTGAGAATGAGAATGGTTAATTATTAGCCTGTTATGTAATATTGCATTTTTTGATTGAAACTCAGTGGGAACCGGGACAGTCAGCACTCCATAAGAGAGGGCTCAATAGCTTGTATTATTGGACTCTGAGCTTTTATGGTTCAAGCCTTTATAAACTGTGTCAAGCTGTGATAGTTATAATTATTGCACACGTTGGCTTAACCTATATAGTGTGGTCATAATGCATTAGCCTTTCCAGCTTTCAGTTGCCTATCCTTTATTATCAGTGACATTTTCCCTTAAAGGTTCAGAGCAAGCATGACTTTATGATCAGCTGTAAGCTTTAACTAAACCAACTCTTTTTTCCATGGAAGACTGTTGTCGAAGAAACCAGGAGATGGCAGTATTTCTTAATGCATCAGAGTTAAATTCTACAGATGGTCACAATTTCTGTTCTTGTGCCCCAGAATAGGCAAAAATTTAAAATGAAGTGAAGGAAGAGGCACATTTCTTGTCTTGTCGGCACAGCAAGTCATTGCATGCTTGACCCCTCTGGTATCTTCCAGACCCTTTTCTTTCAGGTGTCAGATCTTCAACAATCACATAAACCCAGGGGAAATCATGGTCTTCCCAGTCTTCAGACTGGACGTAGTGTAGTCTGACTGTTTCAACATACATGAACTACAGTTCCCTCTTCTCTGATAATACCCATAGGAGAAGTCAATGACTAGCCAGCCTCCCTAAGACTGTGTACTTATGGAAGTCACACAGTGTGCTTGCTTGGAGTCAGGGAGTCCCGAGGGAACTGGAAATCATAGAATCATAGAATCGTTATGGTTGGAAAAGACCTTTAAGATCATCAAGTTCAACCATTATCTAACTCTACCAGGCCCACTTCTAAGCCATGTCTCTGAGCACCATATCTAGATGGCATTTAAATACATCCAAGGACGGTGATTCAACCACTTCCCTGGGCAGCCTGTTCCAGTCTTTGATAACCTTTTCAGTGTAAAAGTTTTTCCTCGTGTCTAACCTAAACCTCCCCTGGTGCCACTTGAAGCCATTTCCTCTTGTCCTATCAGTTGTAACTTGTGAGAAGAGACCATCACCCACCTCTACAACCTCCTTGCAGGTAGTTGTAGAGAGTGATAAGGTCTCCCCTCAGCCTCCTTTTCTTTGGACTAAACAATCCCAAGTCCCTCAGCTGCTCCTCATAAGACTTACTCTCAAGACCCTTCACCAGCTTTGTAGCCCTTCTCTGGACCCTCCCCAGCACTCAATGTCCTTCTTATACTGCGGTGCCCAAAATTGAACACAGCACTCAAGGTGCAGCCTCACCAGTGCTGAGTACAGTGGGACAATCACTTCTCCAGCCCTGCTGGTTGCACTATTCCTGATGCAGACCAGAATGCCGTTGGCCTTCTTGGCCACCTGGGCACACTGCTGGCTCACGTTCAGCCGGCTATCAGTCTACACCCCCAGGTCCTTTTCTGCCGGGCAGCTTTCTAGATGCTCCTCCCCAAGCCTCTAGCATTGCATGGGTTTGTTGTGGCCCAAGTGCAGGACTCGCAGTTGGCCTTGTTGAACCTCATAACATTGGCCTTGACCCATCAATCCAGTCTGTCCAGATCCCTCTGAAGAGCGCTCCTACCCTCAAGCAAATCAACACTTCCACCTAACTTGGTGTCATCTGCAAACTTACTAAGGGTGCTCTCAATCCCCTCATGGAGATCATTAATAGAGATATTAAACAGGAGTGGCTCCAACACTGAGCCCTGTGGAACACCAGCCTCCAACTGGATTTGATTCCGTTCATGACCACTCTCTGGTCCTGGCCATCCAGCCAGTGTTTGATCCAGCAGAGTGTATGCCTGTCCAAGCTTTGGGTAGCCAGTTTTTTAATAAGAATGTTGTAGGGAACAGGATTGAAGGCTTTACTGAAGTCTAGGTAAATAACATCCCCAGCCTTTCCCATGTCCATCAAGTGGGTCACCTTGTCATAGAAGAAGATCAGGTTTGTCAATCAGGACCTGCCCTTCATCAGCCCGTGTTGACTAGGCCTGATCCTCTGGTTGTCCTGTAAATAGTATGTAATGGCACTCGAGATGATCTTCTCCATAAGCTTCCCCAGAACCGAGGTCATACTGACGGGTCTGTGGTTCCCTGGATCCTCTTTCTGGCCCTTCTTGTAGACGGGCATCACATCTGCTAATCTCCAGTCCATTGGGACCTCTCTGGATAGCCAGGACTGCTGATAAATTATGAAGAGTGGTCTGGTGAGCACATCCACCAACTCCTTCAGCACTTTTGGGTGT